GGCATAAGAGCTATTCAGTTCAGTAATATTTTACTATCATTGGCAATCTGGACACAACTTTATCTGTATCGATACTTGTTCCCTCTCGTTATAGTTGACAAGGCACAAGAGCTATTCAGTTCAGTAATATTTTACTATCGCAATCTGGACACAACTTTATCTGTATCGATTCTCAATCTAGTTCTATCTTTCAAGAGAGCGATTCAAGCCTCTTCTTGTTTTCTAACCAAAAAGCAAATACTCTCACACTGTAATCAAAGCCGAGTACTATCGCAACTGATGTGTATTTAAATATATATGTTACGGGTTAAGTTAATGCACATATTTACAAGAATTAAGCAGATATATATAAGCGTAGTTAAGCTATTCACAATACAGGTTTGACGTAGTTATTTACAAACATAGCTAGGTTAGGTTAATCGCATTACAAGTTTCGGGTAGTTAATTATAAGCGCATTTAAATCTACAGACAATGTACAACGTAATTTATCTAGGTATGTTTTTAGTATAACTATGGGGATTTGGACGGTATTTAGAACAGGAAATGGCCGATTTATAACCGTACCCATAAACCCTTTGTCTGATCAAGTATGAATTAGATTACCATGAGTGTTTGTCTCTTTAAAATGTTCATTTTCATGTGCAGTTTCTCTGCAAAAGTGACTTGTGCATTTTTTGCATATAAGAAGCAATGAATACTTTTCGAGTCAGAAAAAAGCGACGTTACATTCCACATTTTTTATCAGATTAAGGTTTTAGGGTACCGTTTACTATTTTTACATGGAGGGTCACTTGAAATTACGCTTTCAATCCCTTTAAGGATTGTAGAAAGGAGAGAATATGAAATAGGATTAGAGAACGGAGAAAATATACAAGTAGAATTGAAAAAAAAACATGAATCATGATAAAGTATTTTACCTCTGTAATTAAATAGTTTATGAAGAAAAGAAGATATATATGATTAAACTTATTAAGTATTATTTTCCATATCATTAAATATTTATCGTTTTATCCCATATATCCTTTAAAATCTTATATTAAAGGGTGTTTAAAAAACACTTTACACTTTTTTCTCTCAGAGGCTTAATTATTATCCGACCATAGTGTCTCTAGGATGTTTGGAATACATGTTTAAAAAATTATCGGATTTGGTCAACACTGTTCTGAATGAATATACTTTATCTCTTGGGGATGAAATTAATCAACCCACCTTTAACAAAGCTGAAGGAAGTCCAGAACTTGCTTTAAAATGTCAAAAATCTAATTAAAGGTGTTCTATATAACCATAAAAAGCTTTGTTAGTTAATAGATTACATGTTCAGGGTGGAGCTAATATGACCAAACCCCAATTTGGAGGACACTGTAACCCACCAGTTCCTTCACTTCTCCTTCAACATGGAGAACAGCTGGCGGGGACCATTACTATAAGCTGATCGGACCATATTTTATTGCAAGAAGGAATATACCTTACTATCCTAAAGCTTTTCCTTGTGTAAATCTACTCTAACCATGGCCCATGAGGGCTCAGCATGCTGGCAGGACATGAGCTTGTGAACAGACACCACAGCCAGCATCTTATGTTGTCAGCAATAGTTTAAATCAAAGTTTGGTTTACACCTGATAATGTCCATTGTCCATGAAGTATTCCATGTCTGGCCTATAATCCAGAATATTTGGGGCATGGCAAAAAATGAGATTATAAGGAAGAAATGTGAAACATCTAAAGCAGTGAGGCGAGAATAGGAAATCCCAGCCGGGTAGGCTGATCAGTACCTTTCCCAAGAGATAAAGAGCATTTATTCAGAGCAGGGTTGACCAAAACCGATAATCTTTTAACCATATAGTCTTAACATCCTAGAGACACTGATACAAATTTCATTATGATCGGATAGTAATTAAGCCTGTGAGAGAAAAAAGTGTTTGGTTTTTTTATCAAAGCTTTGTCTGATCAAGTATGAATTAGATATCAATGTTTTTGTTTCTTTAAGGAGTTTATTTTCGTTTGTGGTTTCTCTGCGAAAGTGACTTGCGCATTTTCTTGCTTATAAGGTGCAATGAATACTTTTCGAGTCAGAGATTGTCTCCCACATTTTTGATGAGATTAAAGGGAGTGACCGGCAATGTATGGTGGTTGAACTGAATATGTAGTATTGTGGACAAATTTTTTAGGATTCATTTGGACATATTAAATGTTTCTACGACGTATATTTACTGAATTTGACGATGATATATCGACGACGAAAAATAAAGTTAAAATTATACAGTAAACTAATTAGATGTTTAGGAACATATTTCTCAAAAGAAATTTGTCAATAAATCAATGTTAGAATCAAATATTTGGTTTTCATCATTATATTGAATTTCTTCTTTTCTATAAAGGAATTGAGTCCTTGTCACAAACTCTGATTTTCTAATCCTTATATCTTTGGAACCCACTGGCGTAAACCTTTGATGTTTAAAACTTATATTATTCGATCTAACAGAAGTCATAGTTTGAAATGACAAAGGTCTACGACATTAGATTCCAAAGATAAAGGGATTAGAAAATCAGAGTTTGTGACAAAGACTCAATTCCTTTGTTCGCAAATTTCGTCAAATTCTTCAAATGCCGTCTTTTCAATAAAAATTCCAGAAAATCTGCAGAAAATATTTGTGAATAATCAGAGATTATAGTAACTAATAATTGAATAAGATTACTTATTTTCAATAATTAGAGTTAATCTTTGTTTTCTCAACCTGTTCCAAAACAACTAATTATAGTTTACTACAGAATTTTATTTAAATGTTTTGTCGTCGTTTTTTAAAAATTGAAAAAACTTACCCACCTAAATTCATGATTTTGAACATCGACTTGGCACTCAGTAATTATGCATCGTGGAAACGTTTTATATGTCTCTAAAATGAATGAATCCAAAAAAGATTTTCTACAATATTGCATACTGCTTTCAACCACAATACATTGCCGGTCACTCCCTTTAAGGTTTCAAATGTATCGTTGTAAATCGGTGTGCCATCTTTGCATGAAGGTGACGCTTAAGTTCAAGTTTTCCTTTAACAGCTATCCAGTGAAAATAACATCTAATGCAGGGGACATTGGTTAGTTAGAAAGGGGCCAAGTGTTAGTTTTGGAACTAATATCCCTTGTAATGTCAACACATTTAAGTTTAGCAGATCTATCGAAAACCGTTGGAAATAAAATAAAGAAACTTTATTCAGTTTAACAGTATTTCTTTCCTCCTAGAAAAGAATGATAACATTGTCACAAACTCAGATTTTTTTTTACCGATATTCAAATCCTGAATTCTGCACGATCAAAGAGTCTCAGTTTAAAATATCAAGGGCTACACCATGTAGGCAGCATAGTTATAGGAATTAGAAAATTTGACTTTGTGGCGAGTACTCAGTTCCTTGTTAAGAAACCGTTATTTCTTCCCAATAGTAACTTCACGCAAAGATGACAATGCCCGATCCAAACGAAAGCTTTGTCAATAGATTAATTAACAATAACAGATATAACACTAGATTTCAAAATTTAGGGGTTTTTTGTTCACAATATACCCTAAGGTTGTGCTTAATTTCACCTATAGGAGTCCAGGTAAGTTTGCTACAAACATAAGAACTCTTTCTCTTCGGCTCACCTCAATTTGCAGTGAATGATATCTTATACACACTTACAGTGTTGATTTGTCCGGAGGCAGACGCCCAATGGAGTTACGCGCATGCTGCGTAGAATTACTTACAGAGAGAGAGCATGTTCTACGCCACATGCACGTAACTTCTTTGGGCTTCTGCCTCAGCGTTAATGTGAGCGAAAAATCCCTAAATCTTGAAAAGACGATATCCAGTGTTCTATCTGTTATTGTTAAATAATCTATGGATTTGTCTATCAAGTATCTTTAGATTTATAATTTTGAAAGCAGAATCAAGCACTTTTAAACCTATAAAACGACGATATCTTCCACATTATTTATCAGATAAAGATTTCAAGGTTACTGTTGTGAATCGAGCATTGCCCATCTTTGAATATATGGAGGGTTGCTTAAAATTACACTTACAGTCCCTTTAATAATATTACATTTACAGTCCTTACAGTCCCTTTAATAATATTACATTTACAGTCCTTACAGTCCCTTTAAGAACTAAGAATGAGTGAGAACTTCAGGGAATTCCCAAAACAATGGTATTTACTATTTAATGACAAATTTTGAATCGTCTTTGATTTACGCAGCTTGAAATAGTTAGATAAAAATACATAGATATCTTTTATAATATCTCAATATTGTTTACAGTTAAAGTTCAGGCGATAAATATCAAAGTTGGGAAACTGAAAGGTCTTCGTCAGAAATTGTTTAATATATTAGAATATTTTAGACGATGAAAGACGATTTTAATGTTGTTATCTATTTTCTATGTTTATTTCGACTGCCTGTATCTTGTAAGTGAATAGATGTAAGGTGAGGGACTGGATTGGGTTTGTAGGATAAGGACTGCTCTAAAACTAAAAAATAGTTTAAACCGAAGAGTAAACATCTTAGTTATTGTTTTGATCAAACTAAACTTCGTAGTAAAATCTGTGCAATTAGATTCTTTTGAGACCTTTTAGACATTTTTACGGTGCATATTTTATCAGCAAGAGCGCAAATTCAATATTTAAAATCTTCATTGATTGTCTATTTTGGAGAGATGATTGAGAATCGGGTTTTTAAAAATAATTCAAGAACGACGAAGAAAAATGTAACAAAATTTCTACAAGTAAACTGATTAGATGTTTAGGATTTTTCATTATAAATTTTTCAATAAATTAATGTTATAATCAATTGTTTATTTTTCATCATTATATTGGTTTTCTTATTCATTATGAATTTGTTCGCAGATTTCTTCAGATTCTTAAAATGTCTTTTCATTAAAAATTCCAGGAAAAACCCTCAAAAATGGACAATCTATGAAGATTTTAAAGATTGCATTCACGCTCTTGCTGAACAAAAATGCACCGTAAAAACGTCTGATAGGTCTTTAAAGAATCCTAAAAGATTTCTCAATAATACTGCAATGTCAGTTCAACTACCATACATTGCCGGTCACTCCCTCCTTCAAAGGTTTTTGAACCTTTGAAATCTGATAAGTTTACAGTTTCAAAATTGTTTATCGAAACATTTGCTTTACTTACACTCTGTCCAATTTTAATTTTAAGATATCTTTAAATTTTCTCTTAGGATTACATTGCTGCATTAATCAATAAAAAATGTTACGGATTACAGTTAAAGCTTTATAATGTGTTTTGTGGTTCAAATTAAAAGTTCCAAACCTTTAAAATCTTAGAAAACGAATCAAGTTATTTCTCATTACTGTTTAAGTGGATATAATTTGACTCAACAAAATATTGTATATTAAACTAAATTAATTCTTTTAAAAAAAGCAAGACCATGGGAGCAAAGTTCATATTACTCTCAGTTTAATAAATCTTCCCAAGTGGCTGCCGGGGGTGGTTCTTCTTAACTTGCTGACATATTTCTACGAAAATTGAAAGTTTTGTAAAATCTTATTTTGCAAGATTATTTCACTGGAACAGCAAACATTGAAAGATTGTGAAATATCTTTAAAGAAGAAAAATATTCTACGGGAAAAAAGTAGATACAAGATAAAATTCATGTACACTTTTAATTTGGACTTTGCGCGTTTAACTGTATTAATTGCTCCTAGTACATTGTACACTGTTCACTGTTTATTGTACACCAAACTGCAAAGTAATACATGGTTTACTGTCCAACGCTTTGTTCACACACTGAACATACTGTACCTGTGCGTGTACTATGTAAATTGTACACTGTTTGACATGTGGGGAGGTTATTAAAGATATAAATATGATTGGGAGGGAGGGGGGGGGCGGATAGGAGGACTTTAACGGACATTTAAAATTCTCTTTTTTGAAAGTTTGATGTGAAGACATTTTCTAACTTAGTGCTTCATGTAAAATTAAAAGGTTAACCGTGCATCACAAAGGATAAGACTTTATAGAGACGACTTTACAATTTTATTAAATTCATAATTCCCCACAGCTCTACCTATAACGCCATCTTTACCAAATCGTTAAATAGGCCATTTTTATGGCAGCAGCCAAACATTTACCATTAAACTGACATATTCAAGTCTCATCATTTGTGGATTATCCGGCCTGTATTTAAACTTAAATGCTTAAGGTGGATGAAATATAATCTTAATCTAGAGCTTGTATATTGTACAGTGCAAGGTAATAAGGCAAGGAAAGTTATTCAGAGGTGTACGTATTTTTCGTACTGCAATGTACTGTCTCCGGGCTCTGAAGTAAACACAAGACACAAAACTACACAGACTGCTTATCTCCTTTCACAGGGTGGGCTACGTAGGCCTAAGTTGACCCGGCACGACATGCTACGGTTTTACGATAGGATTTTAAAGTGCCATCTCACGGCCACTTGTTGAACAAAATACCCAATCAGGGGTTAAGTTTTACAACTTTTAAAGAAATACTCCAATTTTAAACATGAAACATAACAGTTATGAATTCAGTCTTTTTTTGAAGATTTTGTATTTCAATCATATCCAAAGGATCCTTAAATATCCCTGAATACAGATGTTTGCTAATTGGTCATGTACAGTACTTGTACACAATAGAACATGCTGTGGAAAATATCGCATATTTTAGCTGATAATCGATCTCTGTAACTCTTTTATCTCTGCATGGGATCCATCTTTCAGATAAAAAAATCAATGAAATATTTTGGTCATAGGAAACTATTATGTGATTTATCAAAGTTTTCAAAATCAAATGCTTTTATCCTCCTCAGAAACTAGAGGTATACTGCAAATCTATTCTTGTTACAAATACCGTCCATAAAGAACTGGTTTTAAAATGTGCGCAGAGAATACTCAACTGCAATTAACTTTCCTTTCATTATTACCTTGGTTCAGTGTAAATTTTACATTTTTCATCGAACAATGTTCAGATAAATTAAAATAAAAGGAAAATGAATGCGTTAAAAGTCAAATGGTTTTGTTTTTGTCAGGAGCCTCCTGTTTTAGTCTTTACATTATAAATTGTTATTAACTATTTTTCATGTTTCAAAATACTATTAATAAAATATTCGAAAAATGTTTCACTGGTAACTGGTAATTCAAGGCTCGTAAATGTTTTAC